CCAAGTCAATTCTGCTTGTTGCTCAGGGGTCCTTGTCCTTGACATTGAGTCCCACCAGTGACTTGCATCACCAGAGAACATGAACTCAGCACAATGGACTTTCTGAGCGTCCGTGCACCCTATCAATCGGAATATACGCTCCAACTTGCGAAGCCACTCCTCGGCTGCAAGTGGATCAGCTGCTTCGTTGAAGGTAGGGGGCTTATGCCTTCGAAATTGCTCGACCACTGAATCATGGTTTGAAACATTAGGAGCTAGTGATATGGGTATTGCCTGCCTAGGTCTTGAACCGCTTAGAGGAGGTCTCTTATCAAGTTTTGGTTTGCGCGGGCCATTTCCTTTAGACAAAACATATGGTTCTTATTAGTTTCATTCTTCGAATACTAAAGTAAAGAAGATAGTATTTTATTTCTTGACATAAGGGAAGCTATTACAAGGATTTAAATCTAATCCCTATAAGTTCTACGGATCTTCTTTGGTGGAGCTTCATCTTCGAAGGAGTCTTCCGCCTCAGGTCCGGACTCTATGTCCATCTCAACCTGTGGCTCAGGCTCATGATCATTCTCTAAATCATCATCGGGTTCTTCTTCGGGATCTTCTTCCTCAGCCAAAGGTTCCTCCTCAGGCTCCTCATAGATTACATCATCCCACAAATAAATCAACAAATCAATCAGGGCATGGCAATACCTCTCAAACTCGAACAGGTTTGGGTTGCCTTCTAACATTTCATCTCTAACCGTGACTCTCATATCTCCCCATTGAGGTGGGAGGGAGTGTGTGAGGTTATTTATGGCCTCGATATACGTGATCTCCATTCCAGCATTAATCGTCGTCATGCATCTCTCATAGATGTCATACACATGTTCGCTAAGCGGTCGGGTCGGATCAGTTACATAATTTTCATAAGAATGGATAGCAATTCTACGGTTCAATGCTTCTCTATATGCCCTAGCCGTTCTACGAGCCATATCTGTTGCATTTTCACATACATCATACTTTTTCTTTACTTAAAGAAAACATGCAAATATTTAAACTTTCATATCATGCAATTCCCTTTAAACCCTTAGCTTTTGCCCAAGTCCATTATATATCTTTAAATAACACATCTCTAAATCATATCAATGCATCATAACATAAATATAATCATTAACTCTAAACATGAACATACCTGGGCCATAGGATGAGATTGATGGATGGATGCACGATGTCATAGAATATCTTAAACTTTTCATTTTCCTTTTGTTTTTTTAAAAAAAAACATACTTGGTCTACAGAACCGGCTAAACCTTGCTCTGATACCACGCTGTAACGCCCCGACCCCTAGTGGACCGGAACGCTACTTACTTTACTTAGCTTAACCAGTGGTTTAGTAACAAGTGTATACGTTTTAGCGGAAGCTTACATCTTCGGATAATAATTTAAATAACAATACTTCAAATATTTTAAACAAAAATACTGAATCATTTTTCAAAACAATAAAATGTAATTTATTTGAAGAAAACATAACTTGTTCTCGCATTCTGCGTTATTCAAAATTTTAAAG